GCTCACACTTGACCAGCTCGTTGTTGTAGTTCTGCAGCGCCGCGCCCTGTTGGGTCATGGTCGGCGCCGCGCCTGGAAGCCTCAACCGCCGCCCGGACAGTCCCGCGCCTGCGCACTGCCTCCGCGGTGCGCGGACTCGCGAACGTCACGGCGGCGCGCCGGTCCCGTGCTAGTGTCATCACCGTGCGCCGCGTTGGGCGGGTCTGTTTTGTGGACGCTGATGGAGGCCGAGGCTGTGGCGGTGACGGCGGCGGAGGCGGTGGCAATTGCCACCGCCGATGACTGCGACTCTAGGCCTGGACAGGAGCTCTTGGTTGCTTGGGATACCGTGAGCACTGGTCTGGTGCCGCCGGCCGCGCTGGGGCTGGTGAGGCCTGGGAAAGGTTGGCGGGCCTGTCGGGTCGCAACTCTGCATGATTTAGGGAATTGGGTCCTCATAGCTCCGTGCTAGCTGCCCGTAATGGATTTGCCTCCTTCCTCAGCTGTCTGATTCGTTTGATTCCCCTTACAGTCTTTGGCTGCTGAGTGTTTTCATTCCCTCCCCACTTTTTTTTTTTTACTCCCACCTCCCCACCCCCCACACGGTTTTCCGTGCTCCAGGCATCTTCCCGGACCAGCGGTGGAGTTCCACCAAAGGAGGAAGAGCTCCGTGCAGCGGTGGAAGTTCTGAGGAGCCACGGTCTGCACTCTGTCCTGGAGGAATGGTTCATGGAGGTGCTGCAGAACGACCTGCAGGGCAACATTGCTCCGGAGTTCTGGAATGCCATCACCCAGCGCGAAAACTCTGTCGATGAACCCCAATGCCTCCTGCTGCTCCTGGATGCCTTTGGTCTCCTGGAAAGCCGCTTGGATCCCTACCTGCACAGCCTAGAACTCCTAGAGAAATGGACTCGTCTGGGCTTGCTGATGGGCTCTGGAGCTCAGGGGCTTCGGGAAAAAGTTCACATCATGTTACGGGGAGTCCTGTTCTTTTCCACCCCCAGGACATTCCAGGAGATGGTCCAGCGCCTCTATGGTCGTTTCCTAAGAGTCTATATGCAGAGCAAGAGAAAAGGAGAAGGGGGCACAGACCCCGAGCTGGAGGGTGAGCTAGACAGCCGGTATGCCCGCCGCAGGTACTACCGACTCCTGCAGAGCCCTCTGTGCGCAGGCTGCGGCAGTGACAAACAGCAGTGCTGGTGCCGACAGGCACTGGAGCAGTTCCACCAGCTCAGCCAGGTCCTGTGAGTACTGCCTCCTTGGCCATGCCTCCATTTCTCTGGATGCCCCATTTGTCCTGAATTCAGTAGACCTCTGTGTAGAGCTAGTAAACTGACTGGTGAGGTCTTTTCTGTCTGTACTTGTAGCCAAGGATTGCTTTTGTTTATATGTTACTTTGATTATTTGAGACAGGGTTTCTCTGTGTAACAGTCCAGGCTGTCCTGGAACTCACTTTGTCTCAGTGATCTGCCTGTCTCTGCCTTCCAAGTGCTGGGATTAAAGGTGTGTGTCACCACTGCCCAGCATAGCCAGGGATTACTGTGTAACAAGTTTACACTCGGTCCTGGACCTAGGTATGGTGTGTATGCCCTGTGTATCCTTACGGGAAGAGCCCTCGTAGGTAAGGGACAGATGTGTGTTGTGGGTTCTCCATGAGCAGGGATCTCCT